GTGATACCTTTTTTATTCAAACTCCAAATGGAGATAAAACTTTGCTTAGGAATGGGTCAAATGTATTCTGATCTGAAGGAAAAAAAAAAAAAAAAGAATGCCCATTTTTTTAAAACTTGGTTTTAGGTGTTTATCAATCTCCCAGCATTCTGGGAACAAAAGTTTGTGTCATTCTACCAGTTGGTCTAGAATTGATACATCCATGTGCAAATTTTGCAAAGTACTGGAGAACATACAAGAAACAGTGTTCACTGGCAGAGACTTCACACTAGATTTAGAGTCCTGAAAAAATAAACACCACCATTTTTATTGCCAGTTAGAGATGACGATTAGTGAGTCTTTACTATGCACCAGGCACTGTTAGGTCCTTTTCAAAACTTCTCATTTGAACTTTCCAACGACCTCATGAAGCAGATACTATTAAGATATTTTCAGCTGCAAATAACAGAAAGACAGATTGCCCAAACAAACAAGGATGTGTATACATCCCATAATAAGGAAGCACAGATTGATCAGCTCTGTGACAGTATAGTAGGGCTCTCGCCCTGCTCTGTAGTTCTCAGAGCTCTGCCCTCCTCAGTGGGATGGCTTCATTTCAGGATGGAAGCAAGATGGAAGCACCCCAGCTAGACACAGCAACATCGCAGCAGTGGTTCTCACCGCCGACGTAGAAAAGGGGCTCTCCTTTCCAGTGTAGAAGGAGACACTCTTTAGAAACACTTTCCAGAGGCCCTCCAGTTCTTCCCTTATATCACATTGGCCAGATCTGAGTCATACGTCCACCCCTAAATCAATCAGACAATAGCAATTGGGGCCCTGTGATAAGTTTAAGCCAAATGGGCGTCATCTCTAGAGTTGGGACTGAGTCATGAGAGGAAGGAACAGACACCCCCCTCCTTGCTTCCAGCAAGGAAGAAGTAGGTAATAATGTTGGGTTGACAACCAACAGTGTCAGCTACATATCCCCATCTAGATCTGGGATCTAAGGCTCACTAGTTAAGTGATAGAATCCGGATGTGAAACATGTTTGATTCCAAAGTCTGATTACAATCACTACCTCAGTCTTCTACCCTAAGAAAACTCTGGTTTGAACTAACTGGGTTTGAGCTATTCAGCACAGATCTAACCTGATTTTTAGCGAGGCAGTATAGGACAGTATCAGCTCCTGTTTTTAGTATGAGGGTCTCTTATTGATGATACAATAGCATCTACATGTATTTGAAAAAATGCTATACTGATGTTGGAGATGTATTGTTGTTTTGGTGTATAGACAAACCTTCACGAGCATATGGGGTCATATCCATCTTGCAGTAATTCATGGCTACTTTGGATGCCTGTTCAATCACATAATGAGAGTCCTTGGGTAAGTTCCTTCAGCTCTATCAACCTCCTTTCTCATCTGTAAAATGGGCATATTAAGACCTACTTTGAAAGATTATTGGAAGAGCTGGGCCAAAAGTCCTCAGGACAGGTCCACTGTAGGTACTCAAAAAGCATTTTGTGTTTAAACACAGGCCAAACCTTAAGAAACCTAACAAACAGATAAGAATTAAAAAAAAATCTTTTACCCAATTAAAAAAAATAATTTTTTTTTTTTAATTCATGGAGGGGGGTGGTTCAGAAACCATTAATCTGTGAACATTTGAGCATCTGCGAATCAACATAATTGTTTAATGAATTATCTTGGAGACTTTGCAGAGTAGATTGTGAAACTGCACATTCTAAGAAATTTCCAGGACTCACTGACAGTCAATGAAATCATTGACTTTTATAGAGCCATTGTGATCACTCATGAACTGGGTTCACCCCATCTTTTTATACATATGAACTGTGTTTCTAGGGTTAATAAGGTCAGGGAAGTATAGGAAGCAGAATTTGGTCCAGTATGTTAGGTACACAAGATGATGAATAAAATCGTGAAATCAAATTTGTTGTAAGAAAACAAAATCTTTCAGACAAAAACTATGCCGGAACCAAACCCAAAAAACAATTTTAAAAAATTCCAAAAAGACTTTTTTTGTTAGTTCTATTCAATTTATTCACCACATAACATTTTCAAGAACACAAGATTTAATTTGATCTCTAAGTTTCCATATAATTTCTGAACTTTAAGGAAGAAGCCATTCCATTTGTTACTTTTGAAAAGTTTCTGTTGAATGACATTTTACCGTTTTGATTCCTAATTAATTTCCTGTTCTGGTGCTTAAAAAGCTGTTACAATTATATATTAAGAGGTTTTAGAATGCCATATTTACTTCTATGAAATTTCTAAATGTCTTTTAATTTTTTCTTTAAGATGAATTACTCTGATTGAATTTTAAAATTACAAGATGGTTCTATTATAGGTTTTCCAGTTGTTAAGTTCCTAGTTGCAATATAACCTCTATATAATATCCTAGCCCATAAATCTCCACTTAAGAGTAAGATGTACTTTTTTTCCTACATCCTACCAAGGAGGCAAGTTAAACTGATTCACATATGGAGAAGCCTGCTGCACTCATTTTCCTTCTTGGGAGCAAAGGGGAGAAGTGGAAGGAAAGAGGAAAGAACTGCCCCCTTTAAAATGAATTCCAGCTCATCTATAAACCAGCCAAATACAGTACAGGGATTAAGAGCATAAGCTCTGTACTTAAAAAAAAAGACCAATATTAAATGCTGGCTCATTAGTTGTGACAATTATACCATAACAATATAAGATGTTAATCAGAGGGGAAACCACACAGGGAATTCTCTGTGCTATCTGTGCAATGTCTTTGTAAATGTAAACTATTCTAAAATTATTTGTTTTAAAAAAGGACTTGGGTGTGACCAGCTCTACCATCCGTTAGCTGTGTTGAGCGAATTACTTAAGCCCTCTAAGCCTCGGTTTAAAATGTCCATATACAGCATCCCTCAAATGGCCGCTGCGAGGATTCAATGAGATAATGAAGTGCTTGGCACAATTAGTGTCCAAGTTAGTGTCTGTCCATTAGTTTTTACTATTCCTGTGTGCCCGACCAAGGAATGGCCATTGCAGTTTTCAAAGGAAGGCACAGCCTCTTAAATTCACCATGTCCTGATTTCTTCCTGATTTCTCAGCACCTGTTGATAGCACAGCAATCTTCTCAATATTTGTTGATAGCTAGCACAATAATCGTCCCAATCACCCAGGCTCTAAACCCCTCGGTACGCCCCTCTTCACGACCCTGCATTCAACCAGGCACCTTTTCAGCTGTGTTTCCTACTGCTCCCCTTCGCCCACTCTTAGATCTCGTGAGATATGCCTACTGACTTCTTATGGGGCCTTGGGTCAATGACTTAGTCTCTCTGGGCCTGTTGCCTTATCTTTAAAATGATACCACCTACTTCACAGGGTTATTGTGGAGATTGAATGACATGAAATATCTAATATAGGTAAAGTCAGTTAACACATATGTGGCCTTTAACATGGGGCCATATAGAAGCAATTATTTAATGTTAACTAAATCTACTGCTGAAAGTCTAATCACTTCCCCCATTCTCAACTCTTCCTCAGCTTTCAACAAGTGCAGGAAGACGACAGAAAGCATTACCTTTCAGACCCATGTAAATCACTGGTCATAATCAGCTGTACAGGGAGTCCTGAGATGGCCCAAACAGTTACTGTGCTCAGCTGTTAACAAAAAGGTTGTAAGTTTGAGTCCAACCAGAGGTGCCTTGGAAGAGAGGCCTGACAATCTACTTCTGAAATACCAGTTACTAAAAATCCTATGGAACACAGTTCTACTCTTACACACATGGGGTCTCCACGAGTCAGAATGGTCTTGAAGGCAACTGGAATTTGACTGTACAGTCTCTCATTTGCACACGGATCAATTCATACCTTCCTTAGTGGTGGGAGAAGGGTGTATAACATAAAAGAACCTAATCCTATTGAGATTATAGATATCGAAACAGATTACAGATACCATAAAAGGGGCAGAAAGCAAAAAGATTTTTAGTTTCAACCTTGATGCTGAGAGTTTAAATACCTGGCATGGATATACAACAAAGATAGCAATGTAGGTGAGCTATGAGGTAGATTCTCAGCTGATTTATACCCAGGGTTTAAGATGTTCAACCACCAACCAGACCCATGTGGAGCATAAACTCTGCTGGTTTACGGATTTTCTTAGTGTGAGCGATGGCAGCCAAGCTGATGGAGAAGGGGCATTGTATCTTCAGGAACACAAGAGAGATTCTGAAGAGACAGTTTGTTCCCTTCTCCAGCAGCAGATCAATGCAAGACCAAAATCCAGTGCTAAGCTGAGGCTTATCCAAATCTGGTCACCAGCTAAGGGGACCCGGCTTTCCAAGTCTCAGCAGTTTCTCTTCTTTCTTACTTTTAGAGTTGGTTATCAGTAGGTGGAGGATGCATCTTGCCACCCACCCTTTCCCCTCCTCCCTTGCCACCACTACCCACGTCAGCCTGGTTCTGGGTAGAAAAATATACCAGATGAACCCCAAAACACAGTCCATAATACATTAGGGGTGAAAAATATGAGAGCAACTGTTTTTAGGCAGCACTTGCAGGCATCTAAGCACCTGCATACATTCCATCTCTAGGAATCTGAAAGAGAATTCACCCAGAAATGGAGTATTTAGGTGGCCATTCACTTCTGCATGCATTCTTCACTTTAGAATTACCACCTTCGACCTATAGAATTAATAAGACAGGCAGCCACAATTAATTCTGTACTATAAATAAACATAAAAATCTAATAGTATAAAAAGTTTTTGGTACGTGACAAAGCTCGTTACTTCAATATTTCAGATGAAGGAAAGACTGTAAAACCATAAAAGAGATAAAGAAAGTCTCTGGAAATCACAAGTGATACGAAATAATGTAAATGTCGACTAAAAAAATTTAGACTGGTATTTTAAATAATGAAACCAGGACACAGCTATGTGTTTTGCAGCAATCCTGGGAAAATTTCTTTTCTACTAATTAAAAGCAAGGATCAAAATTTTGGGTAGACATTTCCAGGAAAGGTATAGCCTCATTAAACATGGCTGATGTTAAAAATTAAATTTTACTGACCATACATGCAAACAATCAGTTTATATTTTTTCTGGATGAATTTCAAACATGCTGCCAATATTACATTTATATACTGTCAATTACAAAATAATTCATAACAATTCTACAGATCATATGCAAGTTTATTTAAACAGGTAATAATTTAACACTGCACAGTAAGCAAATTTATAAATACAAAAATAGATGGTTTGGCAAACAAATATAATCACCACACAGAAGAAGCAGATTACATGTACACCGTCCAGCCTCTGGAAGATTAAGGCAACGTAAATATCTCAAGTAATTTTATGAGAATACTTTACTCATGTAATAAATGTTATTAAAACATCTTAAAATAGGCAGAGCCCACAATTTTTTCAGTATGAAGTCTTCCCTTCCGGTTTTCTTGTCAGTATAACGATTCTTCTTAAATACTGTACAACAATTAGTCTAGATGAACAAATGGGCTAGCAAAGCCACTATCTTGTTGGCTAGCTAGGGGAGGGATTGATTTTCTCAAAGGCTGCCAATACACTGAAGATGGGACTGTGCTGCTGAGTTTTTTTAAATCTGACTTTAACAGATCAGTCGTGTGATGAGATGGGTGTCCAAGAGTCATACTGATCTTTTCTGGCTGCGAATACATGGTTTCTGCCGACAGGCCTGGAGTGTGATCAGTCTGACATTTCATCGGTTTACAAATCATATTATTTTTCTCTGTATCTGGAAGGCAGTTAGTTGCTGAAGACGGTTTGGATTTAACAGATTCAGTTAGCGTATCCAGGGTTACTTGCGGCCCACTATGTAGAAATGACACTTCATGACTGTGACAGGGCAGAGCCGCACTGCTGGCGCGCCAGTCTAAGGAGACACTGAGGGCCCCTCCATCCTTGACTGGAGTTTCCTGAACGCCCGAACCTCGACTTGTCTCAGGTGCAGCATTTTCACCTTCCGTCAGTGGGCTGCATTTGTATACTTTTAAACCAGGTCTTTCATTGGGACCTCGAAAGGCTATACATGTGGATCCTGATTCGGAAAGGCCTGGGGTACATCTAGGTGAGGGTTTATTTCCGAAAGTGCCAAGAAAGGGGTATGCGGCTGAATGCAGAGGAGATTCAGAGCCAATGTCACTGAGCAGATCTTTCTTCTTATGCAAACTCAAGCCTCTCTCACCTTCACAAGGAACAAACTCAGGAGAAACATTCCCTGGCAAAATGTCTAGCTGACTGCAGCTATTATCCCCAAAATTAAAGTCTGAATGTGACCCCTTGGAGCCCACAAGCTTTCTGTCCCCCTGCTCAGCGTCCTCTAACCGCCTTCGTAAGTTACAAGCAGCCTTCTTAGGAACTTGTTCACACATACTTCTGGGGATACTGCTTGATTTCCTTTCATTGTAGCCAGGTATATGCTGATTCACATCATTCCTTTTTGGTTTTTCAACTCCAATCAGCATCTCTGAAGTCAGAGGCAGTGCTACTATGTACAGGGGAACACAAAATTAGGAGAAAATTAACGTTTATGAGAAGCAAAAATATGTTTTTATGTATTCTCAAAGAATGCACACGTTTTTAATCATTCTCAAAGAAAATATATCAATGTTGGACATTTTAAAATATTCTTTACACAAATCCATTAATAAAGCTTGGCAATGTTGTTTTTGAAATCAGATATATTATTATTTTTCCCCACCCGATTCATCATTTTCTGTAATAGATGTTATAGGGTTTGAAGAGCCAACTGCAACGTTTCCAATCTTGCTCTAGTGTCGAGTATGGAGTTTCTGATAGACTCTATATTGGCTGGAAGAATCTGTCTGCCCAACACCTACACACACCTACACACACACACACCCAGACGCCTACCAACACACACACACAGCCCTCTGTAAAACTAAATTGAGTTTCTGATTTAATTAGTTAACAACACTAAATCAGATCAGAGGAAAGCAGCCAGACAGTATAGAATCAGAGGCATCGTATCTCAGAGTTCTGTACCTTGGTTCTTAGAGTTCATGAAGAGTTTGCTTCTTCTGGGGACACATTTGCCCACTGTCACCCCAGATCTAGAAAATTCTTTTCTTGATACATGCCGCTGCCCTTTTATTCCCAAGGTTCCCATCACCATTCCAAAATTTACACAAATCGTCTTTATGCTTCCATGTGAGGAATGTTTACCAACATCAGACTCTTGATTTCTTGAACAATCTCTCTGCTTCAAACTTCCCAGCAGTTCAAAAATTCATTTACCCACAGATATGTTAAAATCTCCCTGTGCGATTGGGAATTCACCAATTTTTTTTCATGTATTTTTATCAAATTTTGCTTTATATATTCTAAAGTTATGTTATTACGTATAGAAAAAAACAATTTATAGCGTCTTGGACGACTGCTCCTTTATCAATATGAACTATCACCTTTGTCTCTTTTAATGCCTACTCTAATTTACCTAATAATAACATTGCATTTAACTCTATAATCAATTTAATATCAACCCTGCATTTGCTTGGTATATTATTCTCCATCCCTTTATTTTGAATTTTAGATGTTCTTCTTGTAAAAATAGCATATATCTGAATTTTTTGAAACCCTATTTGAAAGTCATGGTCTTTTAATAAGTGAGTTTAACCTATTTATATTTATTGTGATTGATGATATCTTTCAATCTACTATTATATCTTTCTTTTCTTTTCTTTACTATTATATCTTCCTTTTCTTTCCTGATTTTGTTAAGATTGAAAATGCTTTCTTCCAAGTTTTTCTCCTACCAGTTTAAAAGTTACATATTGTATTTCTATTTCTCTATTGGTTACCCTTAAATTTTAAAACACATACTTAAACCTGCATTTTTCTAGCAGTGGCTAGAGTTATCAATATCTATATCCTTGAATATGGTAAAAATCTTAGTATATTTTTAGTTTCCTCTACAATATCCTCTTGCATCTCTCTGGGAACACTAGATTTTTCTAATCTCTGTAAGTCCCGTTGTCTGATCTGTTAATTCTACTGGTTTTTTGTTTTTAGTTTGGTGTCTTTTTTTCACAGTGCTGGCTTTCTATAAATGTGTGGTAACTCTTGATTGAATCCTTATCTTTTAGATTTCTAGAATGCTGTATCTGTTTGTGCTGCTTCTTTAAAGGAGTTGGGTGTGGGGTAGAGACAAATGAGCTTCAAGGTAGAAAGATTTAATAGCTGGTACTCTAAGTATGTGGGCTCCCAGTTCCACCTTGTTGTGGCTAACCACCTGGAGCACTTGCCCTGCTCCCATACTCTTTGTTCCTGGTGCTCTTGTCCAGCCCATTATTAAGGTTGGGGAAGGGAGGGGAGAAGAAGAAATAAAGAAAGGTGGCTCTACCTGGTTGCTGTTGTTCCAGAATACCAACTAATCACCCCATTAGTATTCCCGGGGTTCCCTAGTTGTCCTAGAACATTCTACCTTCAGACATGAAACAGTTTTGAACTGAGGTTTTCATCTTCAATCCTATACTGTCTCCTTTCTTTCAGTTTCTCATAGCTTTTGCTCTACCAATTACATGTTTTTAAAACTCAGTTATAGATCTCTTCTTTCTCTCCTTCTTCATTTGTTTATTAGATATTTTCTGTCACTTCTAGGGATCAGGCAGGAACAGGAAGCTGCTGTGTATGCTCAGTCTGCCTACTTGAAATGGAAATGCTACATTCTTTTTGTAAACCTCCCATTTAAGTTAAAACACAACTTTATAAATTAACTCCGTACTTACCTTTTCTGGTCTTTTTCATACTGAAAAGAGATAAATAACAAAAAAAAAAAGAAGAGAAAAACCATTTAAGTGACTCATTTTGACATACCAGACTGTGTAGTTTTGCTCTGGGTTCTTTTAGAAATAGGTGTTTCCAGCAATTTTGCCATTGTAGCAAGTTTGCTAGCGGCATTCATAATCTTTTTATCGGCCCTGTGGGGAATTCCAGAATATTAAATTAATATAGTTTAAAGGGAAAAAATGAGTTTTCTTAGCCCCAGGATTTCTGTTTTTCTATTAGCTCTGCCAACATTTAGGGTAATACAGCCAGTAAGTTTCTTTTAACCGCAGTGGCTCATCACATAGAAATAGTTAATTTTGTGGTTAAGGAAAATAGATAAAAAATGACAACATGCCGTCCTGGTACTCTCAGGCACAGTGTTTAGACTAAACTTACCCCTCCTGTTTTCCATTATCCTGCAAAATCTGTTGGAGGCAAACCAAATAATATTTGCGCATCTTTCGGGCGGTTTCTTGACGTTCTCGAAATACCTCTGCTTTTACCATTTCAGCAGCTCTTTCCTTACTCTCCTGGATATAGCGGAGCATATCACCTATAGGAGGTGGGAGGGAATCCCCAAAGAATTCATGTTTAGTGCAGTTTTTCAGAAATAGGAGAGGCAGACTTCAGATCAATTTTTTTGGGAGATGAAGTAATTGGAAGAATAATTTAAACATTATAGATCTTCACAATCCTTAAAATGGGATATTTCGGATCACCATTTTGGTGGACTCAAAAGAGAATTCATTTACAAGTCCTTTTGGAATGATGATAGCCACATATGCTAAGGACATATGGCATATTCCTTATGGAAATTTTGTCATGTTCCAAAACACTTAGGTAAGAAAATGTCATAAATTTGAGGCAAGGAAATTCATATATTTCAATTATACATTATGTCCAGTTGTGAGAAGAGGAAAAAGAAATATAAAGAAAGGGCGAGGCAGAAAGGAACAGTGAAGCAGACACCAAAAGACAGAAGCAAAGGAAGCAATACGAGCTGGAGAGAGACTGTTGTTTACTTGTGCTCTGAAAATCCATGTGCCATCACTTATTCAATTCGTTCAGCAGCACTTATTGAGTATCTAACTAAATATAATATTATAATTCATGAGAGATATGTACAAATCTAATGTAGGGAAGAATATGAGGCTTTATAGTTGCCTTTTGAAATGCATATTTAAATGTAGTTCACAGCTTTCAAGGTCTCTTTTTTAACTCAACATGCTTTGATTGAGGCCCCCATTAGTTGAGGCTGATATATTTTACTAAATCCAGGGCTACAGCCTACATCTAGAATTTCACCACCCCTGTTATATTAGGAATACCAATTTTCACCACCCCTGTTGTATTAGGAATACCAATTCATAGAAGAATCTCCCTTTTAAAGGTAGGAAGCTCTTCCTGAAAATTAGATGTTCTATGTAAAAATACTAACTGGGAGACTAGTTTCTACATATAGGCAGTCCTCAGGTTATGAACATCCAACTTATGGACAACTCATACTTAAGAACAGACTGCCATAAAGCCTATTATATTAAAAATTTGAGTTAAATACAATGGTTCGTAATAATGAACACACACACAATTTTGTGACACTCATGAAAACACTGTGCAGTTTGAAGTGTTTCTGAAGTGTTTTATATGCACAGAAGGGCAAAATATTTACTATATACTAAGACAAACATTTGACTAACTGATGCTAAATAAGAACTGTATGTACCTGTTCCAACTCACCTACAAATTTGACTTAAAGACAGACTTAGGAACAGATCTTGGTTGCAACCCAGGACTGCCTGTAGTTTTCCCTATATAAACACTGGTCATTTCAGTGGGAGATATATACATTCTATATAATTTTGATATTGAAAGCCAAGAGGTATTCTACTGGACAACCATAAACCAGGGAAATGATCTGCAAGATATGCTGGCATGACCTTGTCCCACAAAGGACTTGATAAACAAATTTACATCTATGATTTAATCCACCATGAGAACGATGACAAACAACAGAACAGCTCCTAACTAGATCCAGTTCTACAGTCCTTAAAAGTTTATGGTAACCTGCTGCCAGCTGCCGTTGAGTTGACTCTGACTCACGGTGACCCATGTGTGTCAGAGTAGAACTGTGCTCCATAGTTAATCACTGTGTCAATGGCTGATTTTTTCAGAAGTAGATCATCAGGCCTTTCTTCAGAGGTACCTCTGAGTGTACTTGAACCTCTAACCTTTCGGTTAGCAACAGAGAATGTAAACACTTTGCACCACCCAGGGACTCCAAAAAGCTTATGGTAGAAAGTGATAATTGCTACTTTAAAACTCATGTGACATTTTCTTTGCTAAAAGTTATTTAAGTTGTAAGATTATTAAACGTTTACTTTAGTACTGGTATCCAATAAAGAAATAGGGTAATCAGTAATAGAGAAATAACTCTACCCTCAGGTTACTTCCAAAGATATAACTTGGGCAAAATGATCTATTACTGCATGATTTAGAAAAAGTATCAACAATCCCTTCTAAGAGCAGGCAAGATCCCAGAACAGGTAGTTCGGCAAACTCCCTCAAATTACTGTTGTTATTGATGTTGTGCTGTCGAGTCGATTCCTACTCACAGTTACCCTATAGGACGGAGTAGAACTGCCCCATGGGGTTTCCAAGGCTGTAATCTTTATGGAAGCAGATTGCCACATCTTTCTCCTGCGGGGTGGCTGGTGGGTTCAAACCGCCAGTAGCCAAGTGCTTAACCACTGTGTCACCCGGGCTTCTTCTAAAATTACTACTGCTAGTAAACACTGAGTTTACATAGAACAACAACAATAAAAAAGCTCAAACCATCCTTAAAATCTTTGGAATTTCCTTAGGGACTTACGCTTAATTTTTTTTACAGCTTTAATGTATTGCCCACGAAGTTCTTCCAAGGCCTTCCCACTGTAGAGCATGTAATAAGCATTTTCAACGGCCCCTTCAGACAATGACCTGAAAACAAACCAAAGATGCAAAAACAGGTGGCAAGTGAAAAACTTCCTTTGAAAAATGTATATGTATCCATACATTCTAAAAATAGAAATGTGCTAAAAATTTTATATACAAGGATCTTCATTATAGATATTTAAAATAAGGGAAAATGGAAATAAATGTTATGATTGCTTAAATAAATCATGGTAAATTCATATGATTAAAACCCTTGCAGCTACTGAAAAGCATACTGAAGGAGAATATCTAATGACATGGGAAAATGTTTGTCTTGTAATATTAACAAAAGGTTACAAAATGGTTTATGCGATGATCTCAACTTTTTAAACATGTCGTACACATGATATGTGTGTGCAATATAAAACAATATAAATGATATGAAACAAGAAGTTAGCAGAAGGTATTTTCTGGGGATAAAGTTTTGGAAATTTGTTTTCTTTTTTATAAAACTTTTTGCTGTATAACAGTAATAATAGGTGATATTTACAAATTTTTTTTAATACTTAGATATAAATGTTTTGTTCTTTTTAATAGTAAAAGTCTACCTTGGTGGTGTTTTACTAAGTGTTTTCAGTTCTTCCAATTTATTCTTCATATCATTGTTTTCTTCTATTAATTCTTCAACAAGTTCACTATTCTCTTCTGTAAAATAAAGTTTGTAGTATGTTGAACAGTAATCACCTTTTCTCCCCAGTCTTCCTGTCTCTTAAGTACCCAGTGCAAATGTTTATAGCAACTGTGCAATTTTCACTGCTTGTCTGTGTCATTCATTCTCTGAGGATCCACACCATAGTTGGACCACTCCCTTGTTCCGTCTTCTCAGCACTTCAAATCTGTGCTCCATTTTCAATCTTGCTCTAGGTTACAAACCACCCTGGAATTGCTTTCCAACTGTTCCACATGCATGCGTTTTTTGGTTTTTTTTCCAGCTAGAATGAACCTCTGTAGACATAAGTTTTCTGATTCCATGTCCCCCATGGAACCTGTCGTATAGTCTAGGCTCACATAAATGACCATTGAACAAGAACTTAAATATAAAATAAAAAGAAAATTCACTCTAAGTATGAATATAAGGTTTTCAATTCTTTGGACTTTAAACAAGAGATTGATAGAGTCCTACGATGTAGGACAAAAAAGGATGAATTTCAGAGTCAAAGAGATATAGGTTTAAATCCTAGCTCAGCTTCTTGCCAGTTGAATGAGCCTAGGCACATTAGTTAACCTTTGTGAACCAGAGTTTTGTTTTGTTTTGTTTTTTCAAATGTAAAATGGGTATAGTATTACCTACAAAGATTATAACAGAAATAAAATAGAAATGCACAGCCCCTTATACAAGGCCTGGCAGCACCAGTGCTCAATACATGTGAACATGGTGCCCCACGTTCCCTACTATGCTATCTCCTCAACACATCCTATAAGTTAGGATGAAGGGAATGAATCACTCTGTTCCCAGTGGCAATTGATAGAGCTTGTATATTTTTAAACCACTCACGCTTACTCTGCACTTTTCAATAAATGCTACCAACAGAGTGAAAAATGGAATTGCAGGAAAAAAAAAAAAAAAGCAACAACAGTAGTAAAGATACTATCACCTAATAGAAATACATTAAGACAAAACTCAAATCAAACATCAAATGACTTACATTCTGACCTTGACCCCTTTTATCAGGCCATTGTTTTGAAGGAAGTACCTTCAAAAAGGTACTTCCTTCAAAATAATGGATTCTTTCCAAGTCTGCGAATTACAGAGAGTATTAGCTTCAAAAGCACCATATGGAATAACTATTTTATGATCACATATGTATACCACAATGAATGGTATAAATACTATCAAACTGCCTTCATCATTTTATTATGTAACACAAATTTTCTTGGTTTTCATCAAATTTTATAACAGCATACTTCTGTAGCTATATGTATCTACAGTTTGGGCAAAAATCTCATTTATTCTCTTGGCCCCTACTAAAGAGCTAAGTAGTCATAAAGGTAATTGTAGTGTGAAAATTTTATCTCAAAATTCTTAAAACTCTTGTGCCTTAGTCAACGACATTTACTGAGTGTGTACTATGATGCCAGGTACTGCGCTAAGTGCTGGGACAGGACTTGATCCTTGTTGCCATGAAGTCTATACTCCAAAGAGGAATACAGACAACAAATAATTACAAGGATGATGAAAGTTATGAAAACTATAGGAGCTATGGAGAATGTCTAATGGGAGGACCTAATCAAGTCTGGGGTGGTGGGGAAAGCCTCCCGAGGAAGTCCTGCACTGGGAAAAGATGAGTAGGAGTTAGCTAGGTAGTGAGATCAGGATGGGAAGACGGATGTTTTGGTAAAGGGAGCACATGATAAAGAGGCCCAGAGATAAAAGACAATTAAATCCATGCTTATAGTTCTACTGAGAGAATCAGAGAGCTCGGGGAACTATGAGGTTGGAGGTGCTAGCAGGCACTGGATCATGAAGGACTATTTTAAACCATATTGAATTAAATGTTTGGATTTCATGCTGAGGGCCACAGCAAGCCACTGAAGGGCTATAAATAAGAGAATGTTATGATTCAGTCTACTTTCTAAAAGGCTACGCTAGCTACCTATGGAAAATGTATTGGAGGGACAAGATGGGAAGCTGAAAGACTCAGGAGATGGCTGCCATTGTCCAGGCAAGAGATAGAGGTGAAGGCAGGAAAAAAAAGCAAACCTATTCACTAGGTCTTTTCTGAATGATACAATTATTTGGGACTCTTGTTTTCAATCTTTCATTCATTGGTACCATGACTACAAGGATGAACAAGGTAAGACATAATCCCTTATCCTCAGGGAACTTAGTTTAGAGAGGTTATCGGGCAAATAACCAGACAATTAAAATACAGAATAGGAAGTAATGTAATAGAGCCAAGTGCTACAAGGCCACGCAGGAGCAGCCCACCTAAGGAAAGTCAACGAGGGCTTTGCAGATGAGGTGTCTTCTGAGTTGAATCTTCAAGGGTCAGGATGAGTCAGGCAAAGAGGAAATGAGAAGGTCAAGTGTAGGACAAAGTAACATCATATGCAAGGTCCAGAGATAAAAGACAATAGGACCAGTTCAGGAATCTGCAATATTTCATATGTAAGGAGAAAAAGAGCATGGAGTATAAGTGAATAATAAAAGGTAAGAGGGAGCAGCTTATAAGCAAAATAGTTTACTTTTTTAAGAAGGGCAATAGGAAATGACAGAAGATATCCCTTTTAGATAAATTACTCTGCCAGCATTGTGAAGACTGCACTGGATGGAGGCCACACCAGACCCATATGAGTTTGCTCACGCCTTTTCCTTCTGCCTAGAATGCTATTCTTTTTGGCATACAGCCCCATCTTTCAAGGCTTAACTCTAATATCAGGAAGAGTTAACACCCTTTCTTCTAAGTATAGATAAACATACTGCCAGTAGCACTCAACATTGCATTTATTAATCTATTGTTAACTCCTCTAACTTGACGATAAGCTTCTTGAAGGAAAGGAACGCAGTCTTTTACATCTTCATGAGAACTGGAATTGTGTCTGTTTTATTCATGGCTGTATCTCTAGTGCCTAGAACACTGCCTCACACTCATCAGGCCCTCAATATCTACTCAATCAAGAGAGGAAGAAAGGAATGTGACCTTTTAATCAGAGCTGAAAATCCCTCTTTTGAGATCAGTAATAATCACTTGATTAGTAAAAATAAGGTCCAAATTAGTTGACATTAATCCCAAAAGAGAATCAGTAACTACATTAACTAAAATGTCACATTTGAACACTTCAGCAGGGATCAAAGAGATTCACACTGGTGGCAGGGCTACCTGAAATGCTAACCTCCAATTTTTTCCACTACAGCTTTGTGCTTTCTTTCTAAATGCTGAAGATGCCTACAGCATTTCTCCAGTTTTCTTTTCAGATCTTGACATTCTTGCTTTGCCTTTTCAAGTTCTTGGAAGCAGTGTCCACAGCATGAATCTTTAATTTCAAGGATCTTTTTCTTATCTGTGAAAATTAAATGATAGCAAACTTTTATATCAGTTTGATCAAGAATTACCAAAAAAAGAAAAATGAAAAGCAAGCCAGATGACATGACTCAAGGCCACGGTGCAACTGAAAGAAGGCTATATGCATGATGCTTAAGATAGAGAGGACTGTGTTTAAATCCTGTTTCCACTATTTACTGGTTGTGTGACTCAGAGCATATTACTTAACCTTTTTGAAGTCTAGTTTTTTAATATGTAGAACTGGAACACCATCTACTTTAAAAACTGCTATGAAACCTAGTGCTCAGACCTAAGTATTGAAATATTATTCCCCAGTAAAAGGAACCTGGGATCTCAAGAAATGGCTGATCCTAATACTATGGCAAGGTACGTGTAAGATGAGACTAGAACATCTTTTGCCAGGATATGAAAGTATTCAAAAATACAGGCATGTCACAAGGACACAAAGCCAGCTTAAGGAGCTCCCACTAGCTGAACTGGGGAGAATCTGAGCACTAATTAAGTACAGGAGTGAATTACAAAGTATTGAAAAATAACAACGCATGAGTCCATACAAATAACACAAGCATGCATGAATGGATGGGCAGATGGATGAACGGACAGATGAACAAACAAACAAACAAGAGGGGGGACTCTTGATTACAACAGCATGCCAAGTACCAACTAGTAAATGTTCAGGGAGTGCTGGAGTTGGAAAAAAATCACAATTTTGCAGCCACCATAGTAAGACTAGAGCAGGCAAGAATCACCAATGATTGCTAAATCTAAGGGAAGTTTCTGATGAAGAGAATGGTATTCGCATGGTCTTAAAAGTGTCTCCCCACAGCCCTCTTAGTTGTAAGAGAAAAAAAAAACAAAACCTAAAAAACCAGTAATTATACAGTGAAGAAATCGGACAACACATTGACTAGGTGATCAAAATTAACCTTGCCAATAAGAGACAAATGGACATCATGCACCTCCAGACATGACCAGCTGAGCACACACCCCTATGCAACATTCCAACCAAGAAAGCATAACTTGAATCTAATTATAACGAAACATCAAACCCAAAATGAGGAAAACCAAAAAGGGGGGGAGGAGTGAGTGGAAAATGTCTCTCTCAAAAATGCCAATGTCATAAAAGATAAAGAAAGGCTATGGAAATGTTCTAGATTAGAGGAGGTTAAAGACTCATGACAACCACATGTAATACCTGAGCCCGGACAGAATCCTGCTCTGCAGGAGAAAAGTGATACGAAAGATGTTATTGGATCAGTTGACAAAATTAGAATACAAACAGTAGATTGATGCTTTTATCTAACGTTAAGTTTTCTGTACTAAAGTTATGCAAGAAAATATCCCTATTGTTGGGAAATACACACTGAACTATTTAGGGGCAAAAGGCCATAATGTATATAACTTAGAAGAGCACAAAATAGGATAAAATGTTGTCAACAGCTTCATTTGAGTAAAGCATATATGAGTATTCTTTGTTACTATTGTTGCAACTTTTCTGTAAGCTTGAAATAATTTCCAAATAAAAAATTATTAAAAATTTTGGGGAAGCATAAATGCATAAAAACTGTTTGGCATAGTACCTGGCATAGAACAAGTACACAGTAAATAATACCTATTTTGATCAGTAATATATGAAAATTATAAAATAAAAATAGTAGGCAAAAAAATTGCACAAAAGGTAAATTACTATTAATTGATATACTAAAGTAGGAATACAAATTGGCACAGGCTCAGAAGTCTGTGTCCAAAATGTTTACCTAAAATCATTGATCCAGCAAAATTATTCTTTATTCTTAGCTCTCTCCTGATTTTTTAGTTTCATTTAAATGGTACTATTCATGTACATGAGCATCAGAAGATTAATGAAGCATCACAATGATACTATACACTGCATTTATAATTTTCACTTAAAACTGGAAACCATGCAAATATCCACTGACAAGAGAACAGATAGATAAACTCTACTATACACATACAATGGAATACTATACAGCAATGAAAATGAATGAACTAGACCTATATGCATTAAAACAAAAACCTCAGAAGCATATTAAGTATATTACAGAAGTGAGTTATAAAATAAAGCAATAACTTTTGGGGGATACCTATATTTCTATATTTGGTCAAACCAAAAATAAAAGCAAGGGAGTAACTTTTAGAATTTAGAATATTTGTCACCTCTAGTTGGAGGCAAGTTATAGGGATGGAATTGGTAGAACACACAGGGTTCTTCAATAGTACTGTAGTGTTCTACTTCTTAAGCTGAATGGTGGGTTGCTGGTTGTTATGCTTTATAACTTATATATATGGATTAAGTATTTTCTTTGCATGTATCAAATATTTCAGAATTAAGTTTTAAATTACCTTTTAAAAAATAAGATATTAGGAGAATATAACTAAACCATCAACAATAGTGTTCTCTGGAGGTAGGCTTACAGAGAACTTTACCAATTACTATATTATATGTTCTGGAATTATTTAATCCTGTCTAATGAATTTATTAATGTGTTTGTTTTGAGGGGGAAAAAAGACTAGAGAAAGAAATGAATCCTCTTGTAGTCTGACCTGTCTTAGATAAAAACTAATTTCTTTCAGATTGACAGGACTTCCCAAAGCTAAATAATACCTAAAACTTATTTCTATTCCTTTCACAGATTAAAATTTTAATTCACAGGCTATTCAAAATACGACAGTAGACATAACATGGCACTGAAAAGTAAGAAGCAAAATACAAGCTGAGGTAATATTAACATCTACCTAACTGGCAATAAAATATTCTCAACCATCTAGAACCTAGACATAAGGAAAGAGGGCCTCTGAACAATGAGAAAAATAGCTGTCAACTGACCTTTTGGAAAAGCCAGAGATTCTCCATGGTTCTGGTAATGTCTACTGAATTAGAAATGTGTGGAAACTAAGGTTGTTGGCTTAGCATGTATGATTTTCTCGGGCAAGTTTTAGTTCTCTTCTAGATGGCAATGAAGACAGACAGCAGATAAGCAGCAGCAAGGATATGTTTGTGTGGCAAGAAGGAGCAGGCTTCAGAAGCCAAATCCTAAAAAGGATGGGAGCTAATAAAGGATTTGCCAACTCCCAGCTCCAAAATCTCAATGAAAAGGCAATTCAAGCCCCATGTTGCTCAGTAAGCTCTGCTGCACTAAGGGGCTATTAAGAATTCTTTTCCTAATGACATCTCTAACTCATTACGGGAAAGTTAAGCTATTAACAAAGTATTCAAGGAGCACAAACTACAGGCCACTCACTGTGCCATGTGTTACAGAGGAAGCAATAAAAACACTGCCCCTGCCCTCAAGAAACTCACAAATAAATCAGAAAACATCTAATACACTTTAGAAAGAATTCCATTTAAAAATGGTTGAAATAATCTGCAGTAATTTGAATGAAAAAGTTCTGGTTATATGGGAATTCTCTCATGTGAAACCTTTGATTTCTCAATAAAGTCAGGGAATAAAAACGTTACTGCTCTATTAAAACTCTCATTATTCTCCCTGTGATAAGAATCATTTCTGAATGCAGGAAGGAACATGAAAAGATATAAGCAAGAGGACCCAAAGCGACCCACTCCTCTAAACGCAAAGTAAAATCTAGGGAGCTACACAGTAAGTAGAAATAATATTACACATTTGTTCATTCATAAAACTGCTCACATCTTTGATCTCCTTTTATCCTCAAAGCAACCCTCTGGAATTGTGATTGTGGATGTTACAAAGATGGTAGGAATAAAACCCAATTACCAGCTTCTGCTTCTGTTTCTGGCAAGGCCAAGGGCTGAGCATGGTGTCCAGAAGTGGGTGCACGAAGGGCTTCTGAGACTCCAAGGTCTCCTTTGCCAGTGTCCCTGCTAGCAGGATCCTTAGAGAGCTTAGCCATATTTTTCTGAAATAAATTATCTTCACAGTTAATGCCTAGAAGTAATCGTTATAAAATTATCTCTTAAAAATGCTATCAAAAATAAAAAGAAACCCCAAGACAAGATTGCCTGAATGATCACCAAAATTTTTCTTAGGGTGTTATGTGAACACTGTAACTATAAACTAGACTCCTATGACCATAATTTCCAAATTAGAACATTGTCTGACCAAGGACTGGTGGGTCAAGTATGGAAAGACAGGAGATATACTTACATACATGAATTTGAGATATTTTTAATGGTTTATGTGATTAAATCATAGGCCAAAATATGTGAAATCAGACTTGTTCTTGAAAATCCAGAACATTTTCATTAAAAAAGAAAAAAACCACTGCCGCTGAGTCGATTCTGCCTCACAGCAACCCTACAGGACAGAGTAGAACTGCACCATAGGGTTTCCAAAGAGCAACTGGTGGATTCGAACTGCCAACCTTTTGGTTAGCAGCCGAGCTCTTAATCACTGTGCCACCAGGGCTCAATTTTCATTTTAGCAAGGGTCAAATTCATTACTAACTATAATACCAACCTTTTGTCTTCCACAAGTTAAAAATAACAAGAGTAAAAATAATTTAAATTTATACTGTGTTTTATATGTTTCTAAATACTTTAACATAAATCCATTTTTGTATAAAAGGTCAGTTGAAAAGTAAATCCAATGTAAAAGAGGGAAACGAAGGCTCAGGTAAGTTTAAATCTTGCACATGATCATTTCTTCACTAACAAACATTTGTTAAACAATTTCTGCATTCCAGTCCCTCTTACAGGCAATTGTTGTGAGCAGCCCCCAACTCATGGTAACCTCACACACAATGGAAAGACACACTGCCCATTGTCCTGTGCCATCCTCATGATCTGTTACCAATCAGGCCACTGTGATCTGTAGGGTTTTCACTGGCTGATTTTCAGAAGTAGATCACCAGCCCTTTCTTCCTAGTCTGTCTTAGTCTGGAAGCTCTGCTAAAACCTGTTCAGCATCATAAAAACACATAAGCCTCCACTGACAGACATGTGGCCGATGTGCGTGAGATGCATTGGTCGAGAATCAAACCCAGGTCTCCAGCATGGAAAGGCAAGAATTCTACCACTGGACCACCAAGCAATACAGCTACTAAACTTATTAAGGGGTAAGATGTTCTTTTAAGACTATGTTTTTAGATTTAGGACAACCACTAAATCCCAAAGGAACCGAATAGATGATTTTGAGAAAACGGTCCAGTTTAATTACTTAAAACACATTATATATGCTTGATTCTAAAAGCCTTGATTTTGATTATGAGAAATCCATTTAATTGGTAGGAAACCTACCTGCAATGTCCAACAGAAGCAGAGGTCAGAAATGATAGAGAAAAAGCAAATGAGGTAAAGAAGAGGATAGAAAGTGGAGGCAAAAAGGAGTAATAAAAGCTGAAGCAAAGGCAGTCAGATTTTCTGGTTTCTATTCAAAACTGAAGAACAAAAGCCAAGACAGCACAGAAGGCAGGAAAGCAGAAACCTCTTTGTCTTGGTTTTAACTTTATGAGTATTAAGAAGAGACAGAATATCCTTAGTCTATTTGAAAATGTTGTTCCAATTGATATTTCTCTTCTCTTTTATCCATTATGAAGTACTGTATTAATGCATTTTGATAAGGCATTCACTTCCAAGGAAACTATATTTTTAATTCATTGCATGCTCTCTTTTTAAAAAATTTTGATCAACTAAGTTAATTAAATAAGGACTTGTTTTATATATACTGAGAAAGTTTTTTCATATTTTAATTTCAATGAACAATTCTCAAAATCAGAGATTCAATAAATTATACACATACGTGACATTTAAATTATGCCACCTATATTGTAAATTTATAATCATTGCTTTCCCTCAAGGTCCTGAGCTAAGTGAGCTCTAAGATGGCAGAAGGTCAAGTATTACTTCTCTGACAAATGCCAGATTAGGCATTTCAAAGCCACCCTTTTCTCAGGAATGGAATCTGACTCCACCCAATAAAAGCTGCAAAAGTCTAAGTTCTTAGCCAAATTATGTGATTCTGTCTCCATAAACTTGGGAGCCACATTAGCACACACAGATGATTTTATACTGCTTGCACAATTGTAAGCCCTGTAAAAAGATCCCAGGGTTGATTATATATTAATGGTTGGACGAACAGTTGTATTTTCTGGATTTTTAAAGCAGGTATCACCTTTTCAGGAAAGCAAACTTGAAAGCATAGAAAATGATTTCCCATCACCTCTCATCCTCAAACCCTGTTATAGATAATTTTTATATTTTAATGATCTATTTTCTCAAAAAAAAAAAAAACCTCAATAAAGTATTACAAGCAATATTTATGGGAAATAACCTTGCCCAGTTATTTCTACATTGAATGCAACTACTGTCAAGAGTCACATCTTTGTAAATCAAGGGTAAAAATATCAATTGGGGTAAACTGGGCTGGGCAGACGATCTTTCCCGTCCCTCCGGCTCTAAGATTCTGCACCGCTTTAGCTGCAGGGTGCAGGAAGGCCAAGCTGCACCAGGAACACCCTATCAAAACTCAAGGAATCAGATAGGCCAGGGAGCTTTTTTTTTCTTTCCAGATGAGCAGCTATAATATATGACTACCCAGGGTAAAGAGCCAGTTACCAGTGTGACACTGGAATTCAGATTTTTTTCCTAGTTTATAACTTTTTCCAATAGATATTAAAATCAAATTTTCAATCCTGGCCTTGAAAATCTTTAATCACAACATCTTGTTGTTGTGGTGTGCCGTCAAGTTAATTCCGACTCATACGACCCGATAAGACAGAGAAGAGCTGCCCCAATTGGGTTTCCTAGGCTGTAGTTTTTACGGGAGCAGGTCATCAGGTCTTTTCTCCTGTAAGATGGCTGGTGGGTTCAAACCGCTGACCTTTCAGTCAATAGCTGAGCAATTAACTGTTGCACTACCAGGGCTCCTTCATGATATCTTTTTCTTTTTCCCATTTTTTTACTGTTTTTCCTTCACGATACCTTAATGGGCCTTAACTCTTATCTCTTAAATTTTCTATCAGACCAGACTTCTAAATCTTTGTATTTATTTCTATCTCTAATTCTATGTGTGGAAATGGGCTGATCATAATGCCTAGAATATCATTCTGAATCTTTCATGAATAACTAATTTCTTTAATCATAAGGTAGCAAGACTTTGGTTTTATCAGATCTTCCAAAAGCTGGGCTCAGACAGCATATATACAAATAAAAAGAATACAACTAATTCATTCTACATGTACATATACAACACACCAACAAATCTGGGCTTCAGAGTGTTGTGTGAGTGAGTGATACCTCTATTAACTTGTTTCTGTATCAGTACTCTTTGTATTTGGTTGGTATTTTTTGCCTCTATGGGATAAAAATTTATTAAAAGCAAGAAACAGACTTTCAAACTCTTTCAAAAATTCTTAAAAACCCTAGTTCAGTGTGATGCATATTTGTTGAAGTGGTCGTGTCCAAAACACAAAAACAGGAATGAGATATTCAGTTTCTGAAATCTCAGGCCCTTATAAAGAATGGCTTATATTTTTTAGGAAAAAGATGTCTAGAGCCTAAAGGCTCTGCCTCATAATTGTGGCACTATGAAGAAATAGACTTTTTTTTGGCAACAATATATGCAATCCTTTGGGTTTGCTACAAAAAGTTTTTTTAAACCACTGGTAAAAACACAAGTCTTACATCTATTGAACTATAAATTAAAGGAAAAAAATACCATATGCAACTTCTACAATCATCCTTGATGTTTAATATCTCTTTTCACTTTTCAGGAACATACCTTTTCCCATTGTGGGCCAGCATTTTCTATAAGTGGGAAGACTGTATCTCGAAATGCTTTCTGTACGCAGGCCTTCAGTTTTTCAAAATATTGCACAGACACCCATTTTGACGAACAAGTCGACACAACCTCCAAAAGCTGCGTGTTCTCTGAACCACCGACGTGTTCCTTTTGGGCATCCCTTAAGAGAAATTCAAGTACGGTTAAGACGTCTTCTTCGTATTGATAAATTTCCACTTGGATCCGCCTGCCTTCCTGCATAGTCCATTCTCTACGACTCTGGTCTAGACATGTTTGTAATTCTGTCTCCTTCTGAAGAAGCAGCTCAGTTTTTTGTTTCATGAAGTCTTCTTTAGCTGCCGCAAGCACCTCATTAATTTTATTTCGATGATCATCTAAAAATTGCCGGTAATCTTGCTCATTTTGTTCTTGAATTCTGTGGATTTCTTCCTGCTTTTCTTTGTTCCAGTCACTTCGGGCCTTAGCCAACTCAGCCCTGACAACCACAGGAACTTCCTCGGCCTTTAACTCAAGTTCCCTCTGAAGAGAATGGATCTTCTCTTCCAATTCCTTCCCAGGTATTATATTTTTCTTCATATCTTCAAGCTCACTTTTCCATTTCTCTTTAGCTTCAGAAACAGCAAACAATATCTAAAGGACAAAACAATATACATTTAAAACGTCTTTATGATTCTCCTCATTAACAAAAATATTAAACTAAGGTGACTATTTGGGTTAACCTTGAACTTAGTAAGAGATTCAAAATCAAACTTAAGAGAAAAAAAGACATTATTTTATAAATATACTATACTTACGGATCTTTTACTTCATCTTAAATCACCCAGTATTTTATGTCTTATGTTATTTAAAAACCAAAACATCAGTTTGCTGATGGAGAACCAGAAGTTAAAACTGGCCAAAAAATATCTATCGATCGATCACATACATATATATGCAGGTAGTCCCCAACTTATGACGTATTCAAGGTATGACGAACCGCATTCATGCCTTTTTTTTTGGTACCTCTTATTGTTAATAATATGTACCACATACAGTGTTGCAGCTTGTAATTTGTTGATGTTATCATTCTCAGATATTCACTAACAGATGTTCAAAGACTGGATTTATAAAGATACTGATAATAAAAGGCAATAATAATGAAAATAAACAAAAAAGAGGTATTCAATTTACGTCAGAACCAACTTAAGACAAAGTCATCAGAACGAAACCTCAGGATAAGTCGGGGACTACCTGTATATAATTATATAACTGTCCAAACTCATTTTAGAAAAAAAGAAAAAAATTATATCAGTTTTTTTTTTTTAAACAGAAGTAGTTTCAAATTTTATCTGAACTCCCCTCTAACAAATTAAGTATCTTTTACCTGAAGCAAAAAGGGCCTAGAAGGAAATTTTACTACTGCTTAGAAGTATAACACGCACCTTCGTAATTACTTGCTAATAAACATGATTGTATTTTAATGCAATTTTAGTGGTTAGAATCATTCATTAAATGACAATCCCAAACAAAAAAAGGCATTTTCTCGTTAGTCTAATTTTCTTTTATAACAGAATAGTAGGACTAGGAGATCACAGAAAATAACAGCTAGTACACAAACAAAAAGTAACAGGGAATCAAAAACCCTGGGCTCTAGCTCTACCGTGCCACCGATTACTGCGGCAGTCTACACGGTGCTTAGCAGAGCTGACTCTAGAGACAAACTGCTGGAACTAATCTACCAGCTGTAGGACCATAGGCCCATTCCTCAACTTCTTTGAGCCTCAGTTTACCCATCTGTAAAATGGGGGTAATTACAATACCAACCTGATAGGGTTCTTTAGCATTAAATAACATGAGGAGATAATCCATTTAAAGCATTTAACCCAGAGCCTGGCAATAAAGACTCAGTAAATGTTATTTAGTTGTTATTATTTGGCTGCACGGCCTTAGAAAAGTCACCTACCCTCTTTGGCCCTCAGTGTCTTCACCTGTGTAATGAGCAGATTGTATAACGACCCCAAGTCCGCTTTACTTCTAATACTCTCTAAATTCAAAGAAGTTACAGGGATACACTGTCAAGAGACAGAAGAATCAAGCATCTCCAATGACGCTGGCCAGACCATGGCAGCTGCTAAAAAAAATCGATATGTGCTCTGGATGATGAAGTAGGGTATCTACTTACTAAATTTTCTATTATTATATAGTTATAACAAACCTCCTTATCTACGTAGATTTTTGAACACACATTGTGTATCTTTACTCAACAGTCTGTGTTCCTGAATACCACCACCACTAGCTGCCGCTGAGTCAGCTCCACTCGTGGTGACCCCGTATGTGTCAGGGTAGAACCGTGCTCCATAGGATTTTCACTGGCTGATTTTTCGGAAGTAGATCACCAGGCCTTTCTTCCAAGGTGCCTCTAGGTGGACTTGAACCCCAGTCTTTTGGTTAGCAGCTGAGCACATTAACCATTTGCACTACCAAAGGACTCCATGTTCCTGAATAGCTGCATGTAAATCAAAAAATTTTAAAGTAATTATATTTTAAGCTCACTGAAGGAATCTACTAAGGTAAGCTTTACAAAGGAATTTACAGCAAAATTCCTTTGCTACCAACAGAATAATTCAGGAGTGATTTGAAACATGTTTAAATAGTACTTTTAGAGAAAAGAGGTCACGTATAGATCACAATGGAGGCCTGGAAATCATTACCAGGTGACTTGGGTGGAGGTGGTGGATACCATGGAGTTTGGATGAACTGCCCAACCTTATAGTAAGTGAAGTTTTACAAAGGGGATTTGGCAGCATTAATAAATTCAGCAGTTCCCAAATTTTGCTGCATATTAGAATCACCTGAGGAGATTTTAAAGATACTGATGCCCAGGCTGCACCCCGGACCAACTGAAACAGAATGCCTGGGGGTAGGAGCCAGGTAATAGATTTTTTTCAAGATCCCCAAGTTATTTCAACGTGCAGCAAAGTCTGGGAATGACTTAACCAACCCGACTACTTCTGGACCCAAGAAACTGGCTTTAGATTTCCACAGATCTTGATCAATCACTCTAATACAACTACCGATCCTTCCTTATTTCCAACTCCTGCCAGAAATCACATGATAGAATTTTGTAAGACCAATGCTTTTTTCATTGCAAATATCTTTTTTCAACAACATAAACGGCGACTATACACATGGACCTAGCCGGATGGAATACACAGGAATTAAATTGACTACATCAATGGAAAGAGATGAAGGAAAAGTTCAATATTATCAGTCAGAAGGCCACGGGCAGACTGCAGAACGGACCATCAACTGTTCCTATGCAAGTTGAAGTTGAAGTGGAAGAAAATTAAAACAAGTCCACGAGAGCCAAAATACTACCTTGAGTATATCCCACCTGAATTTACAGACCATCTCAAGAATAGATTTGATGCATTGAACATTAATGACTGAAGACCAGACAAGGACATCACACATGACGAAAGAAAAAGGTCATTAAAAAGACAGAAAAGAAAGAAAAGACCAAAATGGATGTCAGAAGAGACTCTGAAACTTGCTTTTGAATGTAGACTAGCTAAAGTGAATGCAAGAAATGATGAAGTAAATGTACTGAACAGAGGATTTCAAGGGACAGCTCGAGAAGACAAAGTATTATAATGAAAGATGCAAAGACCTGGAGTTAGAAAACGGAAAGGGAAGAACACGCTCAATATTCCTCAAGCTGAAAGAACTGAAGAAAAAATTCAAGCCTCAAGTTTGCAATACTGAAAAATTCTATGGTCACAATATTGAATGATTCAGGAAGCAACCAAAGAAGATGGAAGGAATATACAGGGTCAATGTACCAAAAAGAACTGGTTGACATTCAACCATTTCAGGTGGTAGCATATGATCAAGAAGTGATGGTACTGAAGGAAGAAGTCGAAGCTGCACTAAAGGCACTGGTAAGAAACAAGGCTCCAAGAATTGACAGAATACCAACTGAGATATTTCAACAAATGCATGCAGTGCTGGAGGCGCTCACTCATCTATGCCAAGAAATTTGGAAGACAGCTACCTGGCCAACCAACTGGAAAAGATCCATATTTCTGCCCATTTCAAAGAAAAGTGATCCAACAGAATGTGGAAATTATCAAAGAATATCATTAATATCACACGCAAGTAAAATTTTGCTGAAGATCATTCAAAAGCAGTTGCAGCAATACATCGACAAAGAACTGCTGGAAATTCAACCCGGATTCAGAAGAGTACGTGGAACGAGGGATATCACTGCTGATGTCAGATGGATCTTGGCTGAAAGTAGAGAATACCAGAAAGATACTTACCTGTGTTTTACTGACTATGCAAAGGCACTCAGTTGTGTAGACCATTAACAAATTATGGATAACATTGTAAAGAATGGGAATTCCAGAACACTTAATTGTGCTCATGAGGAACCCATACAAAGACCAAGAGGCGGTCGTTCAAACAGAACAAGGGGATACTGCGTGGTTTAAAATCAGGAAAGGTGTGCGTCAGGGTTGTATACTTTCTCCATACTTTTTCAATCTGTATGTTGAGCAAATAATACGAGAAGATGGACTATATGAAGAAGAATGCGGCATGATGATTGGAGGAAGACTCATTAACAACCTGTGATATGCAGATGACACACCTTGCTTGTGGAAAGCAAAGAGGACTTGAAGCACTTACTGATGAAGATCAAAGACTGCAGCCTTCAGTATGGTTTACACCTCAACATAAAGAAAACAAAAATCCTCACAACTGGACCAATAAGCAACATCATGATAAACAGTGAAAATACTGAAAGTTGTCAAGGATTTCATTTTACTTGGATCCACAATAAATGCCCATGGAAACAGCAGTCAAGAAATCAAATGACATATTGCATTGGGCAAATCTGTTGCAAAAGACCCCTTCAAAGTGTTAAAAAGCAAAGATGTCACTTTGAGAACTAAGGTGCACCTGACCCAAGCCATGGTGTTTTCAATTGCCCCATATGCATGCAAAAGCTGGACAATGAATAAGGAAGACCAAGGAAGAATTGATGCACTGGAGTTATAATGTTGGTGTAGAATACTGAATATACCATGGACTGCCAGAAGAACAAACAAAGCTGTCTTGGAAGACATACAGCCAGAATGCTCCCTAGAAGCGAGGATGGTGAGACTTCATCTCACATACTTTGGACATGTTATCAGCAGGGATGAGTCCCTGGAGAAAGACATCATGCTTGGTAAAGTAGAAGGTCAGCAAAAGAGAGGAAGACCCTCAACAAGGTAGACTGACACAGTGGCTGCAACAACAGGCTCAAGATAGCAACGACTGTGAGGACAGCACAGGACTGGGCAGTGTTTTGTTCTATTGTACATAGGGCCGCTATGAGTTGGAATTAACTTGACGGTACCTAACAACAAACAACAAAGAAACTATTGAGTCATAGAAGAAATCAAAAGTGAACTTAAAAAATTCACAGAATCAAATGAAAATGAAAACATAACATATTAAAACTTCTGGGACACAGCAAAAGCAGTACTCAGAGGGAAATTTATAGCAATAAATGCCTACATTAAAAAAGAAAGACCCAAAATCATTAACTTAAAGCAACAACTTGAACAAATAGAAAAGGAAGAGCAAAAGAAGTCAAAAGCTAC